TTTTTTTTTTTTTTTTTTTTTTTTTTTTTTTTTTTTTTTTTTTTTTTTTTTTTAATTGCTGGGGGGAATGTAGAGCCAAAGAGTGAGGAAAAGCCTGAGGTGCCAGTGGATGAGTCCTGCCCAGGGGGGAATTGTGAGGGTCAGGTCCTGCCTGACCAACCCAGGATGTTCTTCGTGGCTTGGACAAGCCCTGGTGTCTCAGGATTGAAACCTCTTGCTCTTCTGGGCCCAGCAGTGCCACCAGCACCAGGACATCAGAGGAAGCGGACCCGGGAGGGGCGGGCGTGACGGTGGCACTGGCAGGGAGGGACGGGGTGGGGGCACTGGCAGGAAGGGACGTGGCAGCTCCACCAGGGTCCCAGGAATCCCCTCAGCTGGGCGTGGAGTTTCCCCAGGAACCGTTGTGGTGCCCAGCTGCGGGCCCTGCGTGGGGGCACCCGCTGCCGGGGGGGTGCTCTGACCGGGCCCCACCACGGGTCGGGCGTGGGGATGCTCCGTGCCAGCTCCAGGAGGCTGCTGCTGCTGCTGCTGCTGCTGCTGCTGTCGGCCCCCAGGGGGTTTGTGATCACCACTTCCCTGGGGATGAACCAGGCCATGGCCGTGGATCTGCTGCTTCCCAGCCCCGTGGGGCTGCGGCTGTGCCGTCCCGTGTCCTCATCATCCTCTTCCCCTCCACTGTCCATGTCTGGCCTCTGCACTCTGCGGTGCTGGGGAGAATTCCTCCCCCCCAGCAGTCCTGGCTGCAGCGGCAGCTCAGCCTGGAGCAGCGGGAAGGGCCCCTGTTCCCATTGCCACTGGGCTAGCAGTGCCTCCAGCTCCCTGCGCTGCTCCTCGAACAGCGCCCGCGCGTCCTGGGAGCTGCGGATGAACCGTGGGAAACGCGTCCTGTAGCTCATGGAGCTTGGTCAGGAGCTGCCATGGGAAGCTGCAGCCGCCCAGCAGCTGCACCAGCCTGATCCTGCGGGGCCCTGCAGGTGTCTCCAGCAGGTGACTCGTCCCCTTGTCATATGGCAGCCAGATGTCACAGGGGGGGCTCTGCCTGACCTGTGATGTCACAAAGGGGGCCCTGCCTGCCCCGTGAGGTCACAAAGGGGGCTCTGACCGGTGACCTGGAGCGCCAGGGATGGTGCCATGAGGTACCTCAACATCTTCACTGCAGGGGAGCTGGTTGCAGTCACGATCCTGGTGCTGCAGCTCATCCTGGTCGCTGCTGTGCTGCGGGACAAGCGTCTATGGGTAGGTGCCTCTGCACCGCTCTGTGGGCTGGGCTGGGCTGGGCTGGAGTGGCGTGTGGAGCGTCGTGGAGGGTGTGGGGTGGGCCCAGGAGCTGCTGCTGTCTCACCCATCTGTGGTTCCTGCAGAGGATCCGGCAGCACTGGAAGCAGCCAAGGGCAGCAATAGCCCGGCTGGAGGAGCAGAGCAGCTTGGACAGGGCGCAGAAGTCAGCAGAAGTGTCCCCTGGCAGCTCCCGACGAAGTTCCATGAACTACAGGAAGCATGTCCCAAAGTTCATCCGCAGCTCCCAGGACACGCGGGCGCTGTTCGAGGAGCAGTGCAGGGAGCTGCAGGCACAGCTGGCCCAGTGGCAATGGGAACAGGGGCCCTTCCCGGCGGTCCAGACCGAGGTGCCGGCAGAGCCGGGACTGCTGAGGGTCAGAAAGGCTCGCCGGCGCCTGGGAGCGAAGCTGCCGAGGCGGGACACGGGCAAGGGGACGGGAGAGGCCAGATGTGAGGACACGGGACAGCGCAGCAGCAGCTCCCTGCCCGGAGAACGGGACACCTTTAGCCCCACGGGGTCCCACAGGAGCAGCCGCTCCGTGGGGCTGGGATGCAGCACCATCCCCGCTGCTCCGGGCAGGGCCCGCTCGGCACAGCCCACCCCCCGGCGGTGGGGGCTCGGGGTCAGGCAGCGTGGCAAGGGGGCAGGCTGTGGCCTCTTGCAGCCCTGCAGCTCCCTGGGGCGCTCCCTGATGCACCTCTGGACACGGCACATCCAGCGCCGGCACCGGCGCCGGCGCCGCGTCCGCTTCGCCACCCCCCTGGTGACAGTGCGGTACATCGAGTAGCA